TGTTCAAAGTCTTTCTCCACCGATTGCCTTGACTTTTCTAGGTAAACAATTTTACCATTTTTGTCAATTCATTGATTTAATTACACAGCTGCTAACTGAGCACTGACCGAATGCCAGGCCTGCCCTCGTGGAAGCTCCTGGGCTGGGGACGCGCGTGGGTCAGCACTGGCAGCCTGGCCCCTCCTGTTCCGTGTTTTAAAATGTTCATTTCCACCGCACTGCCGCAGACCCCAGAACAGAGCCGGTGTCAGGCACCCTAAGGGGAGTAACGCTTGTATCTCAGTGAAGCGTAGTGTTTACTGCAGGCTTCCGTTCCCTTTACCCGGGAGGTGTCTTAGCTGAGAGTGTAACAGAACCGGCTGGGCTGACAGAGCAGAAAAGGACTTTACTGAAGGGTATCGGGGGCTCACAGGTTTGCTGCCAGGGAGGCCCGAGTCCTCTCCTTGAGAAGAGGCAGGAACGAAGGGCAGCTACAGAGCCAGGGCAGCTGGAATCAGATGCACAACGGGCCCTGGGTGAACTACCGCGTGAACTACACTGGTACCACCCATCGCCGGAGGCTGCCTGGGCTCCCCTGGGCCTGAGCGCTGCCCCTCAGCCGCAGCTGGGAGGGAGGCCAGGAGCCCACCTGGTATTTACCTTTCCACAGACAGGCAGGCAGGCGCTGGGCATGGCTTCAGGTGTGGAGCAGACAAGAACTAGTGAATGTCCTCTGTGTATTAATAAACACAGGACCCCTCCCCACCTTTTCTGCCTACTAAGCTTGTTTTTGGTGTGTGTTTTATGTCATAAATGCCCATTACATTGTTTTTGGTCCGATGTTTTATTTCTTACTATGGTATCATGCTCTGGTGTTAATGTCAGGGTTGTACAAACCTCACAGAATGAATGGTAAAATCATATATATATGTATATATATACAGATGCATATATATATGGTTTAAAAATTATTATAAATGTGTACACAATGTTTCTATCATGTTTTTAAATTTTCTCTGAATTTATAATAATGTCCTCTTTTATTGTTCAAAATGTCGTTTATCACTAAAAATTTAATAATAAAAATTTGAATTTAATAAAGACAAATTTTTTCTAATACATTCATTTTGCTTTCATTTTCATAAAAATGTTTCAAATTTATTAATTTCTTTCATGTAGATTATTTTCTAGCTTTTTAAAGTATCTAGTTCATTTACTTTATACCTTTTCTTAAAATGCATTTAATACTATACATTTTCATGAGTAGCATTTAGTATATTGTTTTTAATAAACTTTACTCTTCTGTTTTAGATCTACAGAAATTATATTGGTACAGAGAATCCCCATACATCCCTACAGTTTTTCTCGTTATTAATATCTTACATTAGTGTGGTATGTTTGTTATAATTAATGAACCACTATTGAGGCATGATTAACTCAAGTCCATATTCTATTCAGATTTCCTCAGTTTTTACCTAATGTCCTTTAGTGTCCCAGGAGCTCGTCCAGAATCCCAGTGACACTTAGAACCCTGTCTCCTCGGGCTCCTCTCCGCATGACTGGTCAAAGGCAGCACTGTTTTCTAGGGCAGGGCAACTGGGCAGATCTGCACGTCACCGACTTTTCTCCCCCAGTTCTCCCCTGCGTTTTCCTTGGATCCCCAACTCTGACTGGGGCTCCTTGGGCTTCCCCGGGGCAGCCTGCCCCCCACCCCTCCCTTAACCTTCCCTGGGCACAGGGCAAGTTTACAGTGGCCTCCACCTCTTCTGGGGTCCTCGGAATAATGGAAGTTGCTGGCACTTGTTAATGTAAGTACGTCCAAACCTGTCGAGAGTTATTACAAAACTTTATTTGAGCCCAACAGAAGATGTGCCGGGAAGCAAGACCTCAGTAGACTGAGATGAACGCTTTGGAGAAAAACAGTTTGCATTTTTGAAAACTAATGCATTTAAGATTAAGGAGGAAACTTGGAAGGTGACAGGAAGGTGGGAAGAAGCAAGATGGGGAAGGGGTTGCCGGAGAGTTGAGACTCTATGCTCGCCTGTCTGCTTTAGGAGAGTCTGAAAGGGGGCATTGCAAAGGTGTGTTAACCTAGATGCACAGAAATGAAGGACAGGGCTTGCTTAAGGCAGAGATAAGCCTTTTAGTAAAGAAATGATCTGCTGGAGCGTGACTACCCACCAGGACCCGCCCACTTAGGAATGTATGATTGGATCACCCGGGAGGTTTCTTTCCATAGAACCCCTTTTTTGTCCACAGACTTGTAGAGGGTTCTACCTGGGGAGGGAAAACCAGGTTGCAAAGGAAAATATTTTCACTTAAACGTTGCTGGGTAATTGCTTGTAGAGACTCAGAGGGCTTATAAAATTTACACATTTCGGTGAGCTTTGCAGGTTGCAGTGTGAACAACACAGAAATCAATTATGTTTCTACATACTAGCAATAAACAAGCTGATGAAATATAACAATGACGGTAATTACAGTAACATTAAAATATGAATATTTAGGGATACATCCGACGAAAGTGTGCAAGCCCTGTATACTAAACTACAGAACACTGCTAAGTGAAATCAGAGAACACCTAACTAATGGAGAAGCGCCCTGTACTCCTGGGTTGAAAGACTAGGTGTCAGCAGCTTCCCCAGTAAAGGGGCCTGAGGCACTTGGGGGGCTCGAAGAGGAGACGTGTAGGGTGGGGACATTCTGTGAGGGGCCTTGCCACCTGTGTCTCTCTGGGGCAGCTGCTTCCTGTGTGTTCCCTGCTGTACCTACCCCGACCCTGCTGTGTCAAGGGTGGTGTCTGGTAAATACTTGGTGAATAAATGAATGAGAACTGAGGGTCCAATGGAAGGAAAGGCCAGCACCTCCAGATCGAGAAAGAAAGCTAAGTGAATGTCCCTCTTAGGAGCATCCTTATCTAGACTGGAAACGAAGACCTCAGGTGAGGACAGCAGAGGCTGCATCATCCAAGCTGCTGTAGCAAGGGTCCCACTGCCACTGGGTTCAGCAGAGACCCAAAGGCAGGCAGAGGAGTGGGAGACTTCATGGTGAAAAGGGGGCTCCTGGTGCACCCTGATGGAGGCTGGGGTCCCATGGACGGAGCCTGAGTCAGGGAACCTTGATGAGTCAGGGTAGCATTCTGGCTTTCTCTGGTGGGTCCTGAGCTGGAAGTTAGGACAGTAATGGGGATGCTGTCTGTTACTGATCAAGTCCTGGCCTTTTGGAGCAAATTGTTACAGGGGTTGTCGGGCTTCCAGTTGCTAGAGACATCTGTCAACATAAAAACATTCAAATCTTTAGAGTTTTCTTTTAGTTTAATTGAGCCAAACTGTCGACAATAGCCGGGAAGCAAAATCTCAATGGATTGTGATAATGTTCCAGACAATGGCAGTTTTGCACTTTATGTTATACATTACCATCAGCCTTGGCCAGTTTGACTCAGCGGTTAGAATGTCAGCCGGCAGACCAAAGGGTCACAGGTTCGATTCCTGGTTAAGGGCATGTACCTGGGTTGCAGGTTCGATCCCCAGCCCTAATCAGGGTCTTGAGGAAGGCAACCAATCGATGTGTCTCTCTCACATCGAGGTTTCTCTCTCTCTCCCTCCCTCCCTTCCACTCTAGCTAAAAATCAATGGAAAAATATCCTCAGGTGAGGATTAACCCAAAAAGTAATACGCACACACACACACACACACACACACTACAATCAAAGGAGAAGACGTAAGCGGGTTACATGAAATCCATTGGTGATAGATTAGGGAGGTGGGAGAAGGCAAAGCAGGTAAACCTCTGGGATTGCATGAAAAGTAAACTGATAGACACATACATCTTTTACATAGGTGGGCACAGGAGAGTCAACAGTCAACAATTAACAAGATAACAACTATGAGAGGATTTATGGTCTCTGCCCTGGTTGTGCCCTGAGGAGTCTGGAGAAAGGGGACTTACCCTGGCATTCCAAAGTTACGTTATGGTATGTGCAAAGGACAACAGACATTCTCAGTTAAGGTAAAGATTTAGTTTTGTCAGGGAAGATTCTAGCCTAGCACATGACTACCTGCTATAAACTGCTTTTAGTTAAAAAGTTTTCATTTCAGACCATCCTCTGTGGTTACTTTCGGTCTCTGAGTTTGCAAGGCCACCACGCAGGCCTTCCCTGAGCTTGTCAGGTTAGCATGTGGCCTCTTTTCACACTCTGGTCTGACTTCCTGCAAGTCTGACTTATCGGACTGGTCACTGCAGGTGAGGGTCTGGATTTATGGGCTGGTAACTGCAGGTGAGGGTCTGGATTTATGGGCTGGTCACTGCAGGTGAGGTGAGGGTCTGGATTTATGGGCTGGTCACTGCAGGTGAGGGTCTGGATTTATGGGCTGGTCACTGCAGGTGAGGGTCTGGATTTATGGGCTGGTCACTGCAGGTGAGGGTCTGGATTATTGCAGGCGAGGGGCTGACCTCCCCGGCTGGTGAGTGGGGTGTGCGGCAGTTCTATCGTCACAGATGGCCTGTCCTGGTCTGGTTCCACATGCAGGTCACCAGCAAGCCCCTGGGACCCTGGGCCATCTCTTCACTGCCCACAGTGCTTGAGGGAGAACAGTAAACCCTCAGGCAGCTTTACACAGGGCGCTCAGTCTCCTCCTCCCCCTGCGCATTTGCACTTAGCGCACAACCGCCTGCAAGACGCAGGCCTGCCGCCTGCTCCGCTAGTAGGGCGCCCAGGTCAGTTGAATCAGCAGGGTACGGCGCCCCGCCCCCAGAGGATTGGCCCCGCCCCCGCTTTGGCTCCACCTGTCACCCCAGGCCACCGCCCCGTCCTTCCCGGCTTACGCGAGCCCCACGCACGCGCGTCCCGTTTCTAACATCTCAACCGCGCACGCGCGCCTCAAGCCTCAGACGACGCCTCTGACCCGCCCCGCGCACGCGCTGCACGCGCCGCACGCGCCCCGCGCGCCCACACGCCTCCGCGCACGCGCAGGCCTCTCCAATGGCCAATGGGTGACGCCGTCGCCTATCCGCCGCTTATCTGCCGTGTGTCCCTCCGAGCGCGTCAGTCAGTCGGGGCCCTCGGCTGACGGTGTTTGTCCTGCTGGGCCCCGCGCTTGTGTCCCGGCTCCCGCCCGTCTGTTCCGGAACCTCCGACACTCAACCGGCCCGGATCCCTACCCCAGCCGCACCCGGCCCCTGGCCGCAGCGCCCTCGCTCCGGCGCCATGTCGCAGAGCGGGACCCCCGGACTGCAGGAGGAGAGCCTGCAGGGTGAGCCGCGGGGGGGCGGGGAGGCCGCAGTGGGGACGGCAGAGCCTGCGGGGAGGCCGGGCCCGGGACGGGAGCCGGAGCCGAGGCTGCGCCTGCGAGGCGGGGCGAAGCCCACTCGGGGCTCGCTGCCCGTGGGCGGAGGTCGGTGCTGGGGGAGCGGGGACGCCAGGCTGGCGGCCAGGTGGGGCCCGGGACGTGCGGGCCCGGGCGCGGCTGCCGCTCCCCGGGGGGGATCTGACACGGATCGGACCCCACCACCCAGCGTAAACTGTGCCGCGCAAGGCCCCTGGGAACGCCGCGACTCTCCGGCCGCGGTTCAGCGCACTCCGTCGTTGGGACACCGCCGGCCTCGCCCGCAGGCGCCGAGCGGCGAGCTGAGCTGCGTGGAGCTCGGCAGTGCAGCCCGTAGCGGCGGTTAGGACCCGCGCGGGGACAAGGGAAGTCCCGGCAGGCGCAGGTCCGCCGCTGCTCTGCTCAGCGCCAGCGCTGGACAGCGTGGAAAACAGCGGCACAGGCGTGTGAACCGGCCTTTTCAAGCCCCTGTCCCACTTGCACTAGAAAATCGTTCCGACACAAAGCTCGGAACTGATTTGTGGGCCCAAAAGAGCAGCAGGGGGACTGGCCCCGGCAGCTGCGTGCTGCAGTCGGTGCAGAGCTGGAGCTCTTCGCCTGGTGCCTGTGCCCGCTGGTCCAGGCCCCTCGCTGCGCCGCCGAGGGCGGCAGCTGGAGGTCCTCCCCGGCCTCGGTCCTTCGGGCCCATCCGGTGAGCCCGAGGCCCGGGAGTGGGAGGAGGGGCTCGGTGGCCGCCGACCTCCGTGTACTCTGAAGCAAGAGTTTACCAAGCAAAAGGAACATGTAAATACATTTTGGGAGGACTGTTTGAACCCTCAGGAGTGAATTTTAAAATCCTTAATTATTCACATACAGTTAGTGAGCTTAATTAGCCCGATACATTGCGTAATATGCATTTAAAAATCACACCCACATTAAAAAAAGAAACCTGTAACCTCCATAAATTTTGAAATTGACTTAATTATTTTGTTTGAACTAGATTAAGGAATTATCCTTTCTGTCTTTCCTCACAAAAGATCCAGCGGGTGTTTTATAAACTCTTTGCCGTACAAGCATCCCTTTTGTGACTGTCAAACTACTTAATTAGCTAACACTGTGTATATTACCGACGGTTCAGATTTAGTCTGGAAGGTTCAGAGCACTCCTGAGGGGCTCAGGTCTCCCTCCCCTGATTGACACGGAATTGCTGAGTCACTGGCAATGCAAAATCGCCAGCTCACGAATTAAAAGACTGGTTTTTCTGTTTTGCTTATTCTATAAAAAGGTGGTTACACAGTGAATGGAAACTCATGGTAAGGATTCTCTGGGCCGTTCTCTCGGGTGTACGTGCGGCAGGGCACTCGCCACTCGCGTCTGTGGGAGGAGCCACTGGGGAAGGGCAGCTGCCCTGGAAATGTGAACCCTGCAGACTCTGGCGCCTGTCCTCTGCTCTGATTTGGTTCCCTCTTGTTTACCTCTGACGAGAACTGAGGAGCCGAACCCACAAACAACAGCACTTTCCTCTTTGCTTGTATTAGCTGGGGTCATATGCCTTCCCCCTTACAACTCCTGGCCCATTCTAGTTAGAGCTGTTGACTTGCAAGGTGCTCTGCACGCTCTTTTCTCCCTGGGTATACAACTTTTAACTGCCGGAGGAAGATGGAATTTTGTGCTTATGTTTGCACAGGATGGGGGAGAGGAGGCGCATGGCTTCCCTCCCAAGAGGCCCCTCTTCAGGGCAGAGCTGCTCATGAGTGCATCCTTCAGGAGGGTGCCCAGCCTTCACTGGGAGACATGCCCACCTCGTCATAGGATCTCGCCATGGACAAAAGTGTATGAAGAAAGAACTAATGATGTCTTTGAGGGAATTTTAGTACCGTGCAGTTCTGAGAGCATAAAAGGGTTTCAGACATCTAAATCCTAGCCCAACCCTTTCATTTCACAGATAGCCACAGTCAGGCCCAGCGGGCAAATGACAGCAGTTATGGAAAAATCAGTTGGCTTTATGTTAAGAATCACTTTTCAATAAAGTGTCTTGTTCCTGTCTCATCTCTCCCAGGGAAGAAGCCCTCTGTGACTAGGGTGGTAGCCCCCTTCCCCTTTAGCTGCTCTGCCTCAGGCTTTCCCTTTGGGGTGCCAGGCCTTCTCCAACACCCCTCTGTTCTGCCATTGATCCCCGTGTCTCATAGGGTAGTAGTTTGGATACTTGTCATTCCCCTTGCCACTCATTTTCAACCATGACTCCCATTGGCTTTTTCAAAATATATTTGCTGGAGTTCTGCCCTAGCACTCCAACTCAGAATTTGCAGTGTTGTGGGCTGGGTTCGGAGGGGCAGTGGAAATGCACTACAGGGTGATTCTCATTAGCCACAGTTGGGACCTGCCACCTCTGGCTAGGGTGTGAGGTAGCCTTGCAGGGCTCTGTTGGTTCCACCTGGGATGTGTGGAGGGCAGTGGGCTCCATTCCCTGCAGTCTGTCCCAGGAGAGGCTGGAGCTGGTGGACACTTAAATCCCATCAACCTTGTTCAAAGATTGACTTGCTGTGTGTCTTGTTAGTGCAATTACAAGCAGGTGTGGGGGAGGCACGTGGGAGAGGGCCTGCAGCTAGGAAGAGGGCTTGCCTGGATCCACACAACAGCACCTGTTTCTTCCTGAGGCCTGATTATGCCAGTTATTTGCTAGATTATTTGCAACTCTGAGGACATTTTGTAAGGTTATGAAGCAATCATAACCCCATCTTTCTTGCAAGATGTAAGTACATTCATAGCATACATTCTCTCATTTTCCAGGAAGTGTTTTCCTGCCCAGTTGTCAGTAGTAAAACTCCTGTCCTTATTCCTTGGAATACGGCTTTTGGACCCAAAGCCTTTGCTGCAGACAGTCCAGAATGGATTTTTTTCTTCCTGAAGGATGCTTAGGACTTTCTATGAGATGATTCTAAAAAGCATGAACTTGTTTTCGTGGAGCCGTGAGTTGGTCCTTGAGGTATAATATTTTTTTATTTTATTTTATTATTTTTTTTTATCCTCACCCGAGGACATTTTTTCCATTTTTTTTTGTTCAGATAGAGTGGGAGGGAGAGAGAGAGAGAGAGAGAGAAACATTGACGTGGAAGGGACACATCGAGTGGCTGCCACCCATACAACCCAACCAGGGCCGGGGACAAACTGCAACCAAGGTACGTGCCCTTAGCGGGAACCGAACCCGGGTCTCTCCGGACCACAGGCCGACGCTCTAACCGCTGAGCCAAACTGGCCAGGGCTCCTTGAGGTATAATAAAATACATACACACCTGAAACTAATATGATGTCATATGTCAAGGATATTTAAATTTCTTTATTTAGTGTTTCTGTTTGCTGGCACAGACTCTAAAACCCTTGGGATTTCTTGAATGGTAGGAGCGTCTTTGCTATTCATCAAGAGCCCCTTTTGTAGGGAGCCCCTGTGGAACCTAAGAGTCTGCTCAGCAGGTGATTCTTGAGGCCCTGGATCGGCTCCGGATGCAGGCCGAAGGACCGAAGGACCGACTGTGTGATCAGAGGGTGGAAACCAAGCTCCCATCTCCTGCAGGAGGGAGGGGCTGGCAATTGGGTTATGCAACTTTTGAGTTGGGAGGGTGGGGCAGAGGGGGAGGCCCCTGTGTGTCTCCTCCAGTTGGCTGCTCCTCATTTGTGTCCTTTCCAAGTAATGGGTAAACGTCAGTGAAGTGTTTTTCTTGAGTTCTGTGAGTTGTTCTGGTGAGTGGGTGGGAGATTGTAGGAACTTGAATTTGTGGTCTGCCAGGCAGAAGTGTATTCCATTTGTGGCTGGTGTCTAATGTGGGGGCAGTCCTGTGGGACTAAGCCCTTTAAACTGTGGGACCTGACACCAGATGCAGGTAGTGGCAGCACTGACTCGAACTGTTGGCCAGTTGGTATCAGAGAATTAATTGGTTACTGGTGGGAAACCTGTATACAGGTGTCATAAGTGGTATCAAGAAAGACACCACAGGCCTCGGGCCCCGTTTACGTCAGACACCATACGTGCTCGGGGCAGCTCTTTAAAGCTCAGTCTGGTACACTGAGCCAGGCCCAGAATCTGAATAAGCTGTTGAACCTAGAAAAATGGAACTGCCCTGCACGGGGCCCATGGCACTGTTCCATGCCATGGGGCTCAAGCCGGGTTGCTAGTTGGCTGAGTGTCACCATGAGTCCCAGAGAAAGGAGAGCTTGAGTTTTTATGATGATTGGGGGTGGGGCATCAGAGCACTTGGAAGATGGTCAGCAGCCTTGATGGCCATGCAGAGAGATGAACCATCTCCTGAATGGTGTTGTGGGGAAGTCCTGAAGTCACTGTGGCCTCTGCTCAGAGCAGAGGCTGTGTCCTGGGCTCCAAGACAGACGCTGGTGGCCGCCTCCTGTGTTCATGAGGAGGCAATGGGAGAGGCTAGCGAGGAAAACTGAGTTAATTTGAAAACCTTTGTCAGCAGCAGACTGGAAGGCTGGTGTCCTGATGTGCTTTTTTTCTGATTAATATTAAGGGTTAGCACAGCCCTGTGGTTTAGGACAAGCTGCTTGGTTCCCTCACCTCTGGGTGATGATTGTAATATAATTCGTTTGTTGAGTTTCCCTGGAACATGGATGTTTTAGTCTTCTGTAGTCTGACTTCACTCTGTCCCTACTCTACCTGTCCTCCATGTGCCATCACAGTGATCTAGTAACAAGGAGTTGTGCTGGAGACACACAGAATTAGGGCACAAAACAGGGAACTGTCGCAGGCCCAGAGACAGGCCATGTGTGTTCCCAGCTTGATCGCTGACAGGAAGCAGCCCTGAGCAGAGGCTGAAGCAGAGACTGTGTTGTTAGTGAATGGAAATACCTAACCCGGGTCAGATCACACACACAGATTACTTCTAGGTTCACTGAACCCAGGTCTGACTGAGTGTCAGAACAGTATAGTTTCTTGAAAATAAGACAGTATACTATCTCCATGACCTCAGATTAGAGAGATAGGAAATCTGTCTGAATTAAAATCAAGAGTTTATATTCATCAGAAGATGTTGAGTGAAAAGAAAAGCCATAGTGTAGTTTACTTGCAACACATTCAGATGGAGAAAGGCTGGTGTCTTGAATATTGAACTGCTACGGACAGAAAGATGGACAACTCAATAGAAAAGGGTCAGTTTTGAATAGCTAAATTAAAAAGATGCTATCCAAATGGCCAGTAACCATGGAAACATGTTCAACCTTTTTGCAAATCAAAGAATGCACATGAACCCACACAGGAGGCCCACTCCTGCAGTGGCCGCGTGTAAAGGCTGATGAGGCTGAGTTTGAGGTGGCTGCTGATCATGCTGGGGCAGGTGCATCAGCTCTGCCCAGAGAGCATAGAGAGCATGGTGGTTCTGGTAACATCAAACACACATTACCATCTTTCAGCCCAGTGATCCCACCCCTGGGTGTGTCCTCAGCAGAGACGAGAGCACATGGATACCATGAAGTTTAGAATGTTGATGGACACAAGCTACACATGTCACACAGTGGCTAGATGATGGTGTAGCCATGCAGTGGGGTTCTGAATGCAACAGCCACACAGATAAATCCATGCACACTTAATGGTCCCTCAAGTGCAAACTCCAGGAGTTGCTGTTGGGTCCTGGCCCTTCCAGCCTTCTGCCCTCACACCAGTGAGTGTCTTAGCTGCAGCCACGTGGGACCCTCCTGGCATTTGCTCTTTGTTGAGGGCTCTTACCTGACCTTTTGTGGGACATGCCAAAATTGTTTCCATCTTTCAGCACTCCCCCTGTCAAGCCCCCAACATACAGACAAAACCAGTAGCCTCTCATCACCCTGCCTTACTTGCCCAGCACGTCCCCTTTGTGTACACAGCCCAGCCATCCTGGGTGCACAGCTCTGAGCACTGTTCATGCACCAGCTCAGCTGTGGGGCTGGAGTGAGTTTATCCAGTTCACTCCAAACCCTGGGCTTCTGGGGATGAAGCTTCCCGGAAAGTAATGGCTTCACTTAAGGGTTTTGTGCTGGAAGTGGGAGCTGCTATTGTGTTATAGTTTGGTAAGCAGATGATAGTTATCTGAACCTATAAAACCTGTCTGGATAGAATCAATTTGTTTGGGATTTATAACGTCAATTTTTGTTCAAGTTAGAAATGCTGAGCTCACTCCCTGTGAGGACTCGGCCAGGTTACTTGAGGGATGGCTTGCTTTGCTTATCAGGTTCAGGCAGAAACCACCTTTGTTGTATCCAGTGCATATTCCTCTGGCTTCTGATGTAAACACAAACAGAGCAGCAAACGTATTAGTACGTGAAATTCATGGGGCCTCAGGGTCAGAATGTCCTGCTGGTGTGTGGGGATAGGTTGAAGTGAGATAGTTTAAACCTTACAATTTATAAAATCTCTTAAGCTTCTGTTGACACTCTTCTTCTTCTAAAAGCTGAGTGCAAAGAAGCACTTGGGTCATTTGGACTCTGTTGGCTGCAGACACGTGTTCTGGCTCACTCTGGGGGTGAGCCTCGGGTCCTCTGGGGGGTGAGGACTGGGTGCAGCTCACGGCCATGCTTCTTGTGTGTCCCCAGCTCCTCTTGGAAATGGAAGGGGGCTGGTTGTCTATTAGGACTGGAAGGTAGAGTGGGTAGAAATTCCAACACTGCCCTTGTTCTGTCCCCTCAGGCTCCTGGGTAGAACTGCACTTTAGCAGCAATGGGAACGGGAGCAGTGTGCCCGCCTCAGTTTCTATTTATAATGGTGACATGGAGAAAATCCTGCTGGATGCTCAGCATGAGTCTGGACGGAGCAGTTCCAAGAGTTCTCACTGTGACAGGTGGGTGCAGACACACACATCACAGTGCTGCCGTACTAGGAGCAAACAGGCTTGACTGTGGTGCCCATTCCCTTAGTAGCCCCTTGTCCTCTGGTCCAGGGAGGGACGGTGATCCAGCAAGGGGCGGACACTGTCCTGTCCCCCTCGCTTCTGCCTCCTCACCTTGAGTAATTTTGTCATGAGCCACTGTCCTTGGCACAGCCAGTGACTCAAGACAGCGTGGCTGAGTCCGAGATCAAAGGTCAGTGCTCTCCAGGACTGTGTGATAGACTGCAAAGCTAGTGGCTTGTAAAGCCCACTTCCCTCAGCCTATCCCATGTCCCCCCAGGACTAGCTAGTTGACGTTTGTTGAGCTCAGCTGAAAGGTGGGAGACTGGTCTGGCCCTGGTGGAAGGGAAGCTGCGCCTCACTGGGTGGTCCCGTCCTTGGGCTTTGCTTCTCCTGAAGGGGAGAATGTTAACGTTGTTTTCCTCACTCTCATTCACGTTGTTCCCTAGCCCGCCTCGCTCACAGACCCCACAAGATACGAACCGAGTGTCCGAGGCAGACAGCCACAGCATCGGAGAGAAGAACAGCTCTCAGGTAGGCCAGGACGGGGTGCAGTGGGGTCTGCTCCTGCAGTCGTCCTGTTTCAGGACGGAGTGCAGAAACGGCTGGCTTTGTGTGTGTCTCGCCTTCTTCTGTAGTGTGGGTGAGGGCATCCCTGCACTTGGGCTCACACTGAGCCGACTAGAGGTACAGGCTTAGGTAGGACACAGGGCGGGATCCCTCTGGCTCGTGTCTGTGGCCTGGAGAAGGGTAAGTGGGGGGTCACTATGGCTGGTCACTATCTTCTTGGCTGTAGGCTGGGCCATGAGTGGGTTTTAGTGTCTACAGGAGAGCCAGCGTCATCTACCGGCCGTTCAGGGCATACCTGCCATTGTGGTCAAAATGCTGACAGGCCTTCCTCATCGGGCACTGCAGTTGCTTCCAGAAACTACCCTCAGGCCGTGGTAACGGGGGGGGGGGGGGGGGCTTGTGGTTCAGAGTTAGGAGCTAACCGGTGGCTGTTTCAGCCTGAGGTCCCTGTTCTGACCGTCAGGCCTAGGCTTTGCTGTGAGAGTCAGTGCAGGGTGCCGGTCCCCCGGACGTGTGTCGGTGCGGAGACCAGCACTGCTTAGCTGCGCTGGGCCTGGGGCCGGCTCTGCACACAGGAGATGCCTCCTTGGGCGCTTGTTCAGCCAGCACTTGGTCCTCTCCTTCCCAGGCTGATGTCCCTCAGGACAGGAGTCCTTGTACCTCAGGCGTTGTCCGACACCAAAGGCTTCCAGGACCCAGCAGGAGCATCTGCCCTAGACACTTGGGTCCACACCCAACTGGGGTGTGCCTGGGCATCTGGTTGGCTTTGCATTCTGAAGCCTTTCTAAAATGTTAAGCAAATTTATTTTGGGGTTTTAAAAAGGAATTTTATGCTCAGGTACAGAATTTTTTAAAAGCAAAAACACCTATAATCCTTCTTTTTTTTTTTTTTTTGTTCAGATAGAGGGGGAGGGAAATAGAGGGAGAGAGGGAGAGAGAGAAATATCGACATGAAAGGGACACATCGAGTGGCTGCCACCCGCACGACCAACCAGGGCCGGGGACAAACTGCAACCGAAGTACGTGCCCTTAGCGGGAACCGAACCCGGTCCCTCTGGACCGCAGGCTGATGCTCTAACCGCTGAGCCAAATTGGCCAGGGCTATAATCCTACTTTTAAAAGTCCCCTTTAGTTAGTGTATTGTGTTACATAATTTGAAAAATACAGCTGGGATCCCGGTCTGAGCTTGGCTTTCTTTCCCTGCCGCCTCACGCGAGAGCAGCTTTCCCTTCCACGGCTTGCTGTGCAGGGCTCCGTCCCTGAGCCGCCGCGGCCCCTCTCATTTCCTTCTGTTGCGACAGCGCTGCCCTCTGTCTCTGCGCGCGTCTGTCCTCACTGCACATTGTTTCCTTGGGACAGTGTTTGCAGCTCTTAGTGCCACCAGATCTCACAGCTGGGACTTCGACCATAGTGTCTGTCTGTCCGTAGAAGGGGGAAGAGTGTGAGATGCAGCCCCAGGGCCCACCGGCTGTCCAAGGACCGGTTCTGAGCTCCACCTCTGGTCCAATGCCAGGTGGGAGGCGGTGCTCTCAGTGTGGGTGTGATGGTTCCCCTGCTTTTAACATTCACTTTTTCTTAGTCTGAGGAAGATTACATTGAGAGAAGGAAAGAAGTCGAAAGCATCCTAAAGAAAAACTCAGACTGGATATGGGACTGGTCAAGCCGGCCCGAAAACAACCCCCCCAAGTGAGTCTGTTTTTAGCATCATGAAATAGCCTTGAGGCGGAGCGTGCCAGCGGACTCACATCTCGCCCCTCTGCAGGGAGTTCCTGTTCAGGCACCCAAAGCGCACGGCCACCCTCAGCATGAGGAACACCAGCGTCATGAAGAAGGGGGGTGTCTTTTCGGCCGAGTTTCTCAAAGTCTTCCTTCCATCTCTGCTGCTGTCACACCTGCTGGCCATTGGGTTGGGGTAAGTGACCCTGCATGGCCTGCCTGGACAGTTCTAGATCTTAGTGACTTCATTTTAAGCATTTTACTGAAATAATAGGTCATAAGTCACAGCTTATGTAACTGTGTAAACAAACATGCCCATGTGATCACCATCCAGGTCAGGAAACAAACATGACTGTGACCCCGGGAGCCCCGCCCCCTGCCCCACAGGATGGCCTGGCACTGACGCTGGCTGCCTTACCTGTGCTGAGTGTAGACGACCAGTCCCTCCTTCGTACCTGCTGGTGCACACTCTGAACACCGCTCTCTGCTGCAGAGAGGTGCTGTCATCTTCACCTCCTGCAGTCCCTCAGCAGGGACAGCAAGGCCCTTATTCTCTGCCTTCTCGCACTAATGGTGCAGAAAACACACAACTTCAGCTACGGGTCCCAAGGACCTTCAGCCTGGACAGCCCTGAGGCACCAACACGAATCTGGGGAGGCAGGGCTGCTCTTCTTTCTGGCTTGCCCCCGCCTGTCCGGGGTGATGGCCTCGCTTGTCCTCGGCAATGGTGATCTGTGGCTGCAGCTCACTGGATGGATGGGACGGGCAAGACAGCTTCTGATTTAGGCTGGTGCCACTTGGCAGGAGGGCTTGCGTCTGAGGCAGAGGGAAATGGGAGCCAGAGCCCAGTTTCCATGACCCTGGTAGCCCTGTGGGAGGTGAGAGGAGGGTTGCTGTCCCTGACCTCTGAACCCCAGACACAGTTCTGCCTGTGGAAAAGTCTTCCTGGTGGGCTCCTTAGTGCTGGTGTGCCCAGTGCGTTTCAGTGTCAGGCTCACCCGGGTGTTCATATGCAAAGCACTTCACATTCTGAGGGGGCAGGGCCTTCAGTTCAGGTTGGTGTCTGCAGCCAGCTCCCACCTGGTGGCTGCCCTGCATCCTTCCTTCCAGACTTTATCCCAGACCTCTCAGCTCCCCTCTCCACACCCCTCCTTACCATTTGCCATGGCCTACCAAGTCCCTCCATTTCTGTCCCCTTTCCTGGAAGTCACAGCCTTCTCCGCCATGGCCTGTGTGAGTTGGCTGTCATTACCAGGAGCAGGGACTTTCTCCAGAAGAGCTGTTGCTGTGGTGGAAACGTGCAGGTTGGGGAGTCTGCTCTGTTGTGCGGGTGTTGAGAGCACTGCCTTGCAGGCATGCTTGGAATTTCCAGATGAGGTGACTGTAGGGTGCACACAGCAGCAGGAGAGAACACTAGGTAGCCATGCAGCCAGGCTTAGCTGGCACAGGGACAGCAGGGCTCATGCCTGCCCGGCCATGGAGTCCTGGGTCCACACTCATCACCATTACTTTTCCGCTTAGAATCTACATCGGGCGGCGTCTGACCACCTCCACCAGCACCTTCTGATGAGGAATCAGAATCGGCTTTTCACAAAGGAGCGGGATTCATACGGAGCTTGTGACATGGCTCACTGAGGCGCTGTCCTGGTCCTTGGTGGCTGGCCACTGTGTTGATTTGTTCTGTAAATGCTGCGTGCCCGACTTAGTGAGACTAGGAATAGACACTGAAACCACACTAACCTAGAACCAACTGTACCTGTGGGATCAATCAATGAGCATGTCACACTATACGTACTCCTGGAATAATGTGGTGGTAACTTTTCTTCGATATTATAAATATGAGCATAGATAATTTTACCATGCTAGTCATGATGTATGTAGTATTTTAATAAAAACTATCTGTAACCTTAATTCAGTTAAAATTCTCCCTATTTCGAAAGAATGAATAATGTTATTAAAGTAACTCCTTAAAGGGTTTATCCCAAATAAACATGTGGCCTTACATTCACACCGTTGGAGGACATGCTGTATGTGGATGCAGGTGTCTGCTGAAGACCACACTTCACTGCTCGTTGTTCTGAGTCATGTGTGATAGGGTCTGGGGCACACGCTGGGCCCTGTGCAATGTAGACAATGGCCCGCGTGCTGGGGCAGGATGGCAACTGTAGTGACCACGTGGATGATGTGCCTAAGACACCTGCTAAAGCACCTTCCTCTTCCCCACTCTGGATTGCAGAATTTAGACATATTTGTGTTCATTTTTGTGTGCTCTGAGATTCAGCTTCATTCTAAGCAAATCTGTGTCTAAAAGACTGGAAATAGAAAATAAATTTTTGCCAAATCCTTCAGAGATTACTGTATTTATACATAGTTTGAAATGAAACACCATAAAACCTTCATGATTAAACTGGGCATATTCCCCACTGTCTGAGTGTTTTCTCCCTCCAAGCATGGATCTCAGAAGGCTGCCTCTGGTATACCGTTTATGCTGTCCTGTACTTGTTTCAGTTTTCCACGCTAAATGCAGTTGTATTAAAATAAATGTAACAAAATTTCATTTTTAAAAATCTTTGTTTATATTGAAATGATTACCTTGGAAGGGGACGATTACACAGGCCTCTCATTGGAAGACAACTGGGTGAATGGCATTTGAATTCTGTCATGTACCCTCTAAAAAGTGTTTCTGAGGTCACACTGAATCAGCAAGTGTTATCTTCCTTGGGAAATAGGTCTGCTCCTGGGCTTCTGTCTAGTATCGTGACCCTTGGTTGGTGGTGTACTCAGCATGTTCAGGAAAGGTCAGTGTCCTCAGAATTAACATTCTTTAAAGAGCTAGTGAGCCCATTGCCATCTGAAGCGTCAGTCAGGCAATTGCTTGTCCCTGTCACCAATGGCCTTAGCTGAGCTCTTAGTGAAGTGGGAGATGAGGTTTTTTTTTTTAGAGGCCTTTTCCCATCACACTGCATCATTCCAGTGGACAGTTTATTTAAAGCATGTCTATGTATTTGTACTTTTGTTTATCTTTCAGGTAGAATAACAGTATTGTAATTGAGCTTTTTCAAATAGTCTAACAAGTATGCAATACAAAATATTTAACAATCCAAACAGTTTTTGATTGAAAACATTTGACTGCTTCTTTTAAATTCGGTTTCCTCATCCAGACATCTGCGCTGCCCAGACTGGGTCTGCAGACTGTGCTGTGACACTTGTATTTTGCCACGAGATGAATATGGGGACAGCTCTCTGGAGGGAACCTGGGCAGTACCTTTAAAAATGATATTTGGCCCTGGCCAGTTTGGCTCAGCGGTTAGAGCGTCGGCCTGCGGTCCGGAGAGACCCGGGTTCGGTTCCCGCTAAGGGCACGTACTTCGGTTGCAATTTGTCCCCGGCCCTGGTTGGTCGTGCGGGTGGCAGCCACTCGATGTGTCCCTTCGCGTCGATGTTTCTCACTCTCCCTTCCTCTCTCCCTCCCACTCTATCTGTACAAAAAATAAAAAAATATCCTCGGGTGAGGATAAAAAAAAAAAAATGATATTTGTACATTCCTTGTGACCTAAAACCCAGTTCAAGGAATTTACCCTGAACACAAACCTCAAAATTTGCTCAAAATTTGCAAATTAACTACAGTGTTTATAATAGGATGTGAGTATAAACATTTGCTACAGCTGAAGTTCCTGGCAGGAAGACAGGTTGGATAAGCTTTGGCACCTCCACACAATGGAGTACCGAACTACTTTCTTCCTCAAAAGGGGGGCAGGTCACCAAGCTGATACTGCATGATTCCTAAGCTGTTGTCAAGAGTGTCAGTGGCAGGCAGTTTTAGAACAGCTCAGTCAACTGATGGTCAGTCTCCCAGGGGAGGTACTGTCTGTCCCCTCCCAGACTCCGCTGCTTGGAAGAAAGTGATGCTGGACTGCTCAGACTGGCCGCTGCAACCCATCCCTTGGACCCACCCACCCACCCACCACGCTGTGAGGTGCAGAGGCCTACCTGGGTAGGGCGGGTCAGCGGTCAGGGCAGTCTGACCTTGATGGGGACCCTCTGGTTTCAGGCGAGCTGCCCCAGCTGGAAGATGAACACAGAGTCCAAAGTGCAGAGTGGTGAACAACATTAAGAGAGAACACACGGCGTGCTATCATCTATGTAAAGAGCCATGGGAAATGTGCACATCTGCTCACGTGCTTTTCGGCTCACCGATGTCAACGACTTGTGGACGCTTTGAAATCAGACTTTGAGTCTGGTCTTGTACTGGCTTATAAAAGCTCAATTTTTCTTTTAAAAAATTTATGTCTGAACCCACAAGTGAACAAAGCTGCTTCATTAAATCCAGATTAGCCTAGAGGGCTTTCAAGCCTCCAGTAAAACAAGCACAGCATCCTCAGCAACTAAAAAATCCACAGAATTAACTCAGGAACAGGTAAAATACCTTTAACTTTAAATAGGAGACAAGAGGAAAGTTCTAGAACAACTAAATATTTTGTAAATGAAAACTGTAAACAAATAAATCCAAGTCTGAGAACACTAAGATTTTTACCCAACGGGAAGAGAAAAAGGCTTATCTGGATGGAATCAAGCATAACGGAGAAATTCCTAGAGGCCTTTTTAAGTAAGTGCTTTTTACATGTGACTGAGGGCTCTGCAGTACCTGAGCAGTGCCCCTGCCCCGCCGGGGAGGGCCACGGGGACTCCGGAGGCCGCTGAAGCCATCCCCAGGAAGCGGCCCCCGACTAGCAGCAGCTGCTGCAGTGATGCCAAGGCCCTGAACTGCTGCTCTGTCCCCTCTGAGACAGAGAAGGCTGGCTTCCTACTTGGTGGGAAATGTATTTTAAAAGAAAGATGGAAAAAGTTGTCCAAATACACAGCGCAAATAATTAAACATTTAAATTTTATTATTTTTTTTGGTCAAAATAGTGGAAATATATACAATCCTATTTTACTAGAGCTTTGTTTTAGGACCAGGGATGAGGAATGCTCAAATAACTGTTCCGTATCAGACCTGGGAACCGTGTCACAGCCAATATACAGTGTAAGCACTATTTTTAAATGAAATGTACTTTTAGCTTCTCAATTTCTAACTCAATGTGAACAAAAGTGGCACTGTTGTTATTAATTCAGGGTAATAAGCAACAAGTATTTGTGTTCCTCTATCAGTAATCAGAACACACCTCAGTTTCCAGAGTGTAAGCCCAGCTCCCCTCCCCTGGACACTGCCTTGGGCTCAGGTTCAAGTCTGGAGGCAGTGTGGCCCCAGCACAGTGCGGTTACAGCTCTATGGCTTTTGTCCTGGAAATGCAGGTGGCCTCACCCCGCAGCTGAGGTTTGATTTTGCTGGCTCATGCACAGTGTGAGCGAGTTGTAACAGCACGCCCCCTCCTACTGTACCGAGTCATAAAGAGGCGCGTTTTCAACCGCAGTGAAGCTGAATCGCGTGGAACCCGGTCGGTGTTCATCTCACAGCAAGTCTGGCCAGTTCCTTGTAATTTGCTTTCTCAGCAGTGAGTTAAGGTGTCCCTGGACCTTACCTGGTGTCAGAGGTACTATTTCTACAGAAATAAGCAAGTTAGGAAGCTTGGGGACGGGCACACTCAGTATTTCACAGGTCCCGCGACCTTGCCAATGAAGGACAAGGTTTCAAGTAGTTCTGAAGCACGATTCTGTGCAACCTCATTATCTGCGAGCAAAGAAAAAGGCAATACTTAGGTTTGGATTAAAAACACTTTGTATAGTGTGTTGCTTTTATTAGGTGGTTACACCAGAGGGTGTGATGGAAGATACAGGTGTGTGGGGGTTAAGCTGCCTGAGCCTGCTTGGCCAGTAGCCCTGGGAGGTCGATGCAGTAGCACGAGAGCCCTAGTCAGACGGCAGAGGGACAAGAGAGAGAAGGGACAAGTTTTCTGTTGGGTGTTCATTTTTTGGTCTATAAACTGGAAAGGAAGGCTCAGATTTAAATAAATACATTTATTGTGAGTAATGGCCTTTACTGAGCTCTGTCCATCAGTCTGTACCAAGCAGGTTCTTCGCTTGCGCAGCAACCCCCACGGCCCCGCTGGCTGTCTGCACACAGGCTCCAGTCTAGGAAGGGAACGAGGCGTGCACCCTGCGCTCCACGGAGAGGACACCCCTTCCCTGACGGAGCCCACTGGGCGTAGCTATGCGGGATGAGACGTTTGCGTGCTCCTAGTTGACTTTGTCCTGGAATATGTACAGGTTGTTGGTGGCAGCCACGGCAATAATGTTGTCGGCAGGGTGCCAGGCCGTGTGCAGAATCTTCTTATTGAAGTCCAGACTGTCCACACTGATCTCGTCCTTCTTCCTCTTCCCTCCTGGACACACTCTCCGGGGTTTCAGACTGGCTCGAGGCTTGCTGTTCTCTCTGGAGGCTTCCAGGGTCACGTCCCTCCGCGTGTTTCTGTCAAACATCCTGAAGAAGTTGTTGTAGGACCCCGTCATGATCGCACTGTTCAAACAGAGAAGATGTGTGAGCTGGCAGGTACTCGATGCCCGCCGAGCGCTGGGCCCAGCATAACAAGCCACGTGGTCACTCCTGGTATCCCTGCACTACTAACAGAACATTTCTTAGAGGCAAGACATGAAAAGTAATCATGGCCAGGAAGGGAACACAATTTCTTACTGAACTTCATATATAAAATCATATCAGTAAAAATCAATATTACAGAAGGAGAAAGTAACAGATTCATACTTTTAATTACATTAGTGCATTTTCAAGAAAGGTAGAAGAAACCCTTAATATCATCTGTCCCAGTCATAATAACAGTATAATTTATTTTCAAGCTTTAACTTCTGTACTGTGTCAGTGATTCAAAGTTGATATCCATGTTCATGTTCAATAGATATTAGTCTGAATTGTCACTGTAGTTTCACTCACAATCAAAGAATGTGTTTTTAATTCTTAATTTCAAAAAGTTTTTTTCACATAAAGCAACAAGTTAGCAAAAGTCATTGGGAGAAGTGTGGGAGAGAGTTAGAACATCATTTCACAATAAATTCCAGATGCTGCAATACTATTTCGTCAGGATTAATTCTAATGGTTTTCGGTAAATCATACATCCTCATAATACATTTCTGTTACATTAGTAAAAACTTCTTGTCTTTTTCAAGAAAAAGGGTTAAGCAACAGTAAACGTTCCCTTGACTCAAGCCCTGGCTTTAGAACGAGCCTAGTTTTGGATGAGATGTGTCCAGACAACACGTTCTGATTGCTCCTGGCAGGACGAGACCAGAGTCGTGGCCACTTCTGCAGTCTTCCTCTGACACCCATGTCCTCCTGTCTCATCACTGCATGAAGAGCGGCTGGTCGTCAAGGCACCATGAGAGGGAAGCCTGGTGTTTCCTTTACATGGTTCACGACTGATCCTGGCAGCTGTGGGCAAATACTTGACTGTCTGATTAACCTCATCTAAAACTTCATACCAGAAAAAAAGATAAAACTCAAAAGAAAAATTACTCCCAGCTATCTGTGCTTATTTTGACTGTGGGAACACTGAGCAGTGGCTGGCTGGCTGGCTGTTCTCTAGATAACCTAGAGCATGAGGAG